TACTATTTCTTTATTACTACTCCCCATCGATGACTTCGTGTGGGTGTACTCGATACTGGGTAATACGCTATAACATTTAACTTGTTTCGTTATCAGACTTACTTTGATTTCTCTTGCCCTTAGTCTTCAATCGATTTAGTTTTTGTGACTATGTTTTCTTCTATTTCTTCTTATACATGGTTTTCTTTACACCTGCTTTTCGACTCGAGCTAACAAACAGATCTCCTGTGTCTCGACAGATGTTGTGAAAGATTACCCTTACAAATAGTTTTATAACACAGAATTAGCATTTCAGGATCTGCTCTTCAGGGAAGTCTTTGTCTTTTAGTTGATGTTGTGCGAGATAGCGCTTATAAATAATTTAAATATTCAAAATTTATTTTTTGAAAGAGATCAGATCAAGGTATAGTTTTATAATTACATGAATCACATTTAAACATCTCATTTTTACAGAAAACTTTGTGTTTTAGTTGATGTTGTTTAAGATGGCCCTTATAAATGGTTTTAAAAAATCAAACATATTGCATTTATGCTTAATTGATGTTGTGTAAGATAGAACATATAAACGGTTTTATAACTGCATGAATCACATTTCAACATCTCCTTGGGGATGCTCTCGTGGCTAAGCCGATGCTGTTTAAGATTATTCTTATAAATATTATTTTTAAACATCTGCTTTTCGAGGATGTCTTTATGTTTTAACATGCTATACAAGGTTGGCCTTATAAATGGTTTTGAAATTGCAGGAAACACATTTCAACATCTCTTTGAGGATGCTTTTGTGTCTAAGCTGATGTTGATTAAGATTATTCTTATAAATGGTTTTATAACTGCATGAATCACATTTCAACATTTGTTCATCAGGGATGACCTGATGTTTCAGTTGATGTCGTGTAAGATACTTATAAATGGTTTTATAATCACATGAATCACATTTTAACATCTGCTTTTCGAAGATGCCTTTGTCCCTGCTGATGATTTCTAAGATATTTCTTTTGTCTAGTTTTATAATTACACGAATCACATGTCAACATTTCCCCTTCAGAGATGTCTTTATGTTTTAGTTGATGTCGTGTGAGATATCTCTTTTGTCTAGTTTTATAATCACATGAATCACATTTCAACACCTGATCTTCGGAGATGCGTCTGTGTATCAGCTGATGACGTCTAAGATATCTCTTTTGTCTAGTTTTAAAATCACATGAATCACATGTCAACATTTCCCCTTCAGAGATGTCTTTATGTTTTAGTTGATGTCGTATGAGATCGAACTTATAAATGGTTTTATAACTGCACGAATCACATTTCAACATCTGCTCCTCGGGGACGCTTTTGTGTCTCAGCTGATGACTTATAAGATATCTCTTTTGTCTAGTTTTATAATCACATGAATCACATTTTAACATCTGTTCTTCAGAGATGCGTTTGTGTATCAGCTGATGACGTATAAGATATCTCTTTTCTCCAGTTTTATAATCACACGAATCACATTTCAACATTTGTTCGTCAGGGACGACTTTATGTTTTAGTTGATGGTTTTTGAGATAGCACTTATAAATGGTTTTATAACTGCACGAATCACATTTCAACATCCGCTGCTCGGAGTCGCTTTTGTGTCTCAGCTGATGACGTACAAGATATCTCTTTCGTCTAGTTTTATAATCACATGAATCACATTTTAACATCTGTTCTTCAGAGACGTCTTTATGTTTTAGTTGATGTAGTTTGAGATGTTGCTTATAAATGGTTTTGTAATCGCACGAATCGCATTTATACATCGTCTCCTTCGAGGAAACTTTGTGCTTTCGTTGATCCCGCTTATACGCCTGCGCTTTCGAAGAATCCTTGTGTTTTAACCGAAATTTTTTTCCTTCGGTTCGTGTCGGTTCTTTTTGGGTATTGTGCTTGGAATTATTTGTAGATCCCGCATATTCAGATTGGCAGTCACTTGTGTAGTCAACAGGTTCGTCTTCCCAGGGGGAGTCACTGGAACGATTCAAATGCATAGTAAAAAATTTTGATGGGGTGATGGCTGTACAGTAGAGATGGCCAGTTAAAGAACTTTGAGGGTTTACTAGATGTCGGCATAACTGATCAGTATACAGGGTGTCCCATAAGCACATGATCATGTGCTTATGGCACACCCTGTATAAAGTTCCTAGATTGACCGAGTACAGCTACCGTTCTCATTTTGCCCAAATATGGCGGTTTGACAATTGTCACTTTGCGTTTGACGTTTCTAAATATTCCTCTGCACATCAACTATTATCTACATGTTTTTAAATTTAACTGTTCTTGATGCTATTTATATTAAAAGACTATCAAAACTCAATCTTTTCCACTATTTTAGATTAAAATGTTGGGCTATTTACTATAAACTGTTCAAAATCATTTCTCATATTGAAAGATGTTCAGACGTTTATACCACGTTATAAAATCATGCCAATGCAAAGAAAAATATTCTTTATGACTAGAAAGTAAGTAGATTGAGATACTTGCTTGTAGATATTGAATAAAATCGAGTTTAAACTACTTAAAATTATATATTTGCATTTCTCAATTATTATTTTTTACTCAATATGCATAAATAAATGCCAAAAGTTGCAACAGAAACTTGGTGACAGCGCACGAGTATGCCGAGTTCATTATTTTTAAGTTGGCAGTCCTTGTCATGTATATAACGAGCGTTCAAATAAAAACGTGGTCGAAGTTGGCTCTGACACATTGGACGAAGGGAGTAGCTTATAGCGACCAACTTAACCTCATTTCTCAACGAGCTGTATAGCAGCTGTCAGTTTCAATAACGTTAATGACTATATAACTTTATTTTAAAGAATAATCGTGATAACAATAACAAACAATTAAAGGAGCTGCGGAAAGTGTCCCCCTCCTTGTTATAACAATAAATTAAAGCAGCTGCTGAAAGTGTCCCCCTCCTTGTTCCAAGCACTTTTCACACCTGTTCCTCAAAGAATTAAAGACATTTTCTAAGATGCTCGGGGTATTGTTAATTTCACGAATCTTGTCTATAAGTCGAGCCTGCAGATGGTTTAAATCAGGAATAGGCAGTTCAAAAATAGTGTTTTTAAGGTAAGGCCACAAAAAGAAATCACACGGCGTAATATCACATGACCTCGGTGGAAATTCATGTTCAGCATTGAGACTTATTAGTCGATTTTGGAAAACTTCCCTCAACATATTCATCGTCTCGCCTGCCGTATGTGCCCTTGCGCCATCTTGTTGAAAGTAAAAGTTTGTAATTTCGTTTTCTTCCAGCTGGTTAACAAAAGGAGCGATAATTTCTTCTCTATACCTTTGCGCAGTAAGAGTACCATTAAAAAAAATAGGTCCATAAATCCTCCTTCGATTGAGAGCACACCAAACTCCAATTTTTTGAGCGTGTAGAGGGCCCTCGACAAAAAAGTTATCTGGTTTTTCAGAAGACCACATTCTCATATTCTGTGAGTTTACGTAACCACTTAAATGAAACCAGGCTTCATCAGAAAAAAAGGTGATATTATGAAGTTCACCGTAGTTGTTTAAAAACCATTCACAAAATACAGCCCGTCGCGGAAAATCAACTTCATGAAGTTCTTGCTGACAAGTTAAACGATAGGAGAACAAACGCAAATCTTTTTTTAACACTGTGTGGCAGGTACCGACTGATACTCCCACCATTTGTGATAAAACACGTACAGAAGTTCTTGGCGCATTTTCCATTATTTGTTGGACATTTTCTTTTAATTCTTCAGTCCGCTTTTTAGGTCGGCCGCTTCCTTCTTTTCTTGTTACACTGCCCGTTTCACGAAAAACATTAACACAACGCTGAACTGCACTTTGAAAAATTTTGTACTCAACAACGCCGGGAAATTGATTTTGAAATTCTATGAAACATTCCTCAATAGAATACTTCCATATTCCATCAATCTTGCGTCCATTTCTAAAGTAGGACTCTATGATAAACACTTTTTGTTCTTGAGAAAACACCATTTTAAACGCTTTTTAAAACGAAAATATTCAAATTGATAGCGGCGATATAGCGCTTTGACAGATTCATAAGTTAAGATAAGTTCATTTGCTATACGCTACGCCCTACGTCCAAATTTTCAGAACCAACTTGACCATGTTTTTACTTGAACGCTGGTTACATTATGCTACATGATCGCTTGCACAGCTGATTGCTTTAACTTATAAAAATTCGGAAGAAAAACAGAGTCGGTAGAAAGGAAAATTTGTGACTAAAAGAAAGTATGAATGCTTGAGAATTAGAACAGAAAATTTCAAAAGCAGGAAAAAAGCTGTTGAAGAGAAGATTGTATATCCGCTCATGAATTGGTTCAAATAGGGTTGAGTACGTTGTGTTTTTCATTACTATTGGCTATTGTTTAACAGCTTAACTGTATTTATTCATTTTGTACTTGGTTTTGTGTTATATTAGTACAAGAATAACCTTTTAAATAATGGTAACTTAATCCCCTTACACCATCCAGAGTATATTAGAAGTGAATACTTTTGAATTTTACCAAAAATCTCCTAAACACAGCAAAAATTTGGCGTTTTAAACAAATAACGATTAGTGCATTGCCATCGTCAGAGAAAATTCTTAAAGAAAGAATTAAAGCTGAAGAAGATAGCAAAAACAAATAACAAGACCGGTGTTAAGATTGAAAATGCTAAAAATAACCAAGTATTAAAATCTGTAATTCTGTATATACGTATTTCTCTTGTTAAATTTTAAGATAATAAGAATTATTTTCTTGCCCAAACGGTCATTTATAGACGTTTTTATTTTAGTAAAGTAAAAATAAAACATTTTATAGTATTAACAATTCTGAATAATCATTTTTGTGCTTAATAATCTACTTTTTAAATTACACAAACCTAAACATTTTCTAGATTTGTGACAAATTATCTCCAAACAATGATACGAAAATATTAGATCACTAGAAAAATATTAAATGGTGCATAATTAAAATAAATTTAAAGTATTTTGGACTTACTTATAATCTTCCGATTTTAATTCAATTTCGTCTGTGATAATATGGGGAGAACTTTTTATGGCTTTGTCGCATGAAACATTTTCAATCTCCTCTTCCGCATTAAAAAAATTTCCTAAAAAACTCACGTGAGTGTCCAACAAATCGAGGCAAACTTTGCATATAACGGGTTCTCTGACGGAGCTAAAGTCCTACAAGAAAAAATCCGTTACAAACATTAATTTGTGATCAAACGGATCAAAATTAATTAATCCGTTAAATAATGTCGAGGAAAATTAGTTTCTAAACTCGAATAATGTACTTACTACTTCTGGAATATAAATGAGAAGCGAATCAACGTCTACTTCGTTTACTGACGTAAACCCGCAAGTGGATACCTGCATACACAGTCGACAAATCCTCTCGTCTTCTAATATATGCTTTAAATGTTCTTTACCTTTTACCTTTAGATAAATTTCAGTTAGGTCGGCTGGCGCTTCCATTTCAGAATCAATATAAGGAAAGATACAGTCCTCCGTATCCGTACAGGTGGCTTTAAAATTAAATGCCGCAAACAGTTTAGTGGAACAGGCTTTGCACATCATAGATTTGTGTTCTTTTGTACCGTTCTAAAATGTAAATTATATCTCGGGAATGTCTCAAAAATTACACAGAGGTTTAATTCTTCTTACCAGTTTCAGCAAAAGGACATCTAGGACTTGTTCAATGATTTCGTCTATTACTATGAAATCTCCAGTATTTAAGTTACTGTGGCAAAGCCTACAGGACGTATCCTCTGTGTATATGTTTTTCTCAAACTTCCACATTAATGTTATTAGAAATCTCCACAAAATTTGATAACATTCATTAGTAACCCTAACCTCACAGAATAGGTGAAATTTTGAAGCATTTGCAGCAGGTAGAGTCATTCCACAACACAGCGTAGCATGGCTCGTTCTATGGCAGGGGTCGTGTGATATTTGAGCGAATACGCCTATCCGGCCTATCGCTTTTTTTTTATTCATGTGATCCAATAGTGGAAATAAGATCTATTTACTTTTTCTTACGCCAATTCCCAGTCGTTAAAAGATTTTTAAAATTGATTTCGTGGATTTATTGAAAATTTTTACACATTTGATTTAAAATATCAATTTATAAAACAAAATGGAAAGTGACAAAAATAATAAAGTTGAAAATATAAATAAACAGACCTTATTTCCACTGTTTGGTCACATTAATAAAAAAATATATAGATAGGCGTATTCGCTCAAATTTCACACGACCCGTGTCATGACGAGTACCATGGAACGGTTGCAGTGTGGAATGACTTATACATACTTATAAGTGCACATATATTAGGCTTATTTTCGCGACTGAAATTGGTACATATCTGACTTGTAGTTACGATTTCTATCTTTTTTAATCTTATTTGTGACATAGTATTGTAAATCTCTTTATTCTCTCATACAACACATACTACAACCATTGTTTATATAGTTACACCAACTATATAAACAATGCTACAACATACCACTTCACTCGCGAAAAAACCCTATTAAGTGTAAACGCTCATGTAAGTCGAAATCGCTGTATTCTGTTCTTTTGCACCATAGAACATTACAAGATCTTTGTAATGTACAAATCATAGAACACTAATATAATTTACCAACAACTAAATTCTCTATGGTAACAACCTAGAAATGTTTTGTAGGTTAGTGCTACGTATGAGAGTATTTTTTATAAACAACAATCTGTGAAGCATGTTCAAAGAGGAACCGTCCTGTAGGCTTTGCCTTAGTGTCGTGAACGACGAAAATGTCGTGGTAATAGAAGAAACTATTGAAGAAGTTCTAGATGTTCTTTTGTTAAAACTGGTAAGAAATACCGCTGTGATTTTTTGACATTATTGATATAATTTACATTTTAGAACGGGAAAGAAAAGAAAGAATCTATAATGTGCAATGCCTGTTCCATTAAACTGTTTGCGGCATTCAACTTCAAGGCAACGTGTACGGATACCGAGGACCGTATCTTTCCATACATCGATTCTGAAATGGCGACACCGGTCGACCTAAGAGAAATTTATCTAAAGGAAAGAGGTAAAGAGCATTTAAAAGATATATTGGATAACGAGAGGATTTGTCGTTTATGTATGCAAGTGGTCATCTGTGGATTTACACCAGTAAAAGAACTGGATGTTGATACGCTCTGTCAATTGATTCCTGAAGTGGTAAATACAAGTTTTTGTTCGAATTATGTTCATGTTCATTGGTATACCAGAAAAAAATATGCAATAGATTTTTTTCTTGCAGAACTTGACTTCCACCACAGATCCCGTTATGTGCAAAGTTTGCACCGATTCTTTGGACACCCATACGAGTTTCTTAAAGGGCTGTTTTAATGTGGAAGAGAAAATTAAAAATATTTCAAACAAAACCATGGAAAGTGCATTTCATATTGTCACAGAAGAAATTGAATTAAAATCTGAAGATTATAAGTAAGTCCAAACAATTTTCAGTTTGCTTTTTAGTCTTTTTATTCATTTACAACTTCATATTACAGCTTGATGTGAACTTAAATGTTTAAACATATCAACTATGTAGATAGCAGGTGTTTTGGTCAAAATTTTTTATAATTGGCAATAAATAAAGACAAAAGTCAGGGACCATAACCGGTTGCTTTCCAAAATGACCAGCGAATGATCGAAATTGTCAATTTCTTCCGTTATTCAGTGATTTTAAAACCAATATACAGAGTGTCCCGATTATACTTAAAAAAATCTGGAGTGTGTGTTCCCCATGAAAAAGTAGTGGGGTAGTTCTTATAACATTTTCCATTTTAACATTGTGATTCCGAGATACAGATACATACATTTAAGAAAATTTATTCAAAATTTGTATACGATTAAATGTCAACCATGTCAATAAAAACGTAGAAATCGTTTTATCACGAAAAGCAGGGACACAAGGGCGGACGGTATGAGGGCTAAAATTTAGAACACAATATAGATTTCTTAATATTTCAGACGGTTTTAAAAACTTCAAAGACTAATCCAAAAAAAAGATGTACTAGTTGAATTTTAATAGGATGTACCGTTTTAGAGAAAAATGAAGTTAATATTGTCTGTTCACTAAAGTGGCAGAAGTATTTTAAAGATTTTTGAATTGAAAGGTTACATTATGATGGATTCGGTGCCTGCGTTTCATAATAAAACCGTTTTCACGTTTTTCTTAACGTACGGTTCACATTGACTCGTGTAGAATTTTTGAAAAGTTTGTCTAATAAATTTAAAGATAATTGAGAAAAATCTTCTTAAATGTAACCCTTTAAAATGCTTCAATTGAACTGTACTTACTGTCGACTAATGCTCTCGGTATTATTCACTATTATTTTTTTTGTTACTTAAGGAGGTATATCGGGATACGAGGGAAATGAGGAGTGCAGGGGGATCCTATGCTTTTCTTATGGGACTAAAACCCACTGCCAATTTGAAAAAATTAAATTCTATTGAAATTATTTGTGATAAACATTATCTATATAGCAAAGAAATCTACTCATATGCACATAGCATACGTATTGACTAATTAACAACATAAANCATGAAAACGTAGTGGGGTAGTTCTTATAACATTTTCTATTTTAACGTTGTGATTCCGAGATACAGATACATACATTTAAGAAAATTTATTCAAAATTTGTATACGATTAAATGTCAACCATGTCAATAATAACGTAGAAATCGTTTTATCACGAAAAGCAGGGACACAAGGGCAGACGGTATGAGGGCTAAAATTTAGAACACAATATAGATTTCTTAATATTTCAGACGGTTTTAAAAACTTCAAAGACTAATCCAAAAAAAAGATGTACTAGTTGAATTTTAATAGGATGTACCGTTTTAGAGAAAAATGAAGTTAATATTGTCTGTTTACTAAAGTGGCAGAAGTATTTTAAAGATTTTTGAATTGAAAGGTTACATTATGATGGATTCGGTGCCTGCGTTTCATAATAAAACCGTTTTCACGTTTTTCTTAACGTACGGTTCACATTGACTCGTGTAGAATTTTTGAAAAGTTTGTCTAATAAATTTAAAGATAATTGAGAAAAATCTTCTTAAATGTAACCCTTTAAAATGCTTCAATTGAACTGTACTTACTGTCGACTAATGCTCTCAGTACACTCACATAGTGTACCAAATTTAGTTTTTCTAAATTCAAATATAACGGAGATATTGATGTGGCATTTCGTCCGAGTTGTTTTGCTTTATTTGTAAATAATAATTTTTAATATTATAGGTATGGCGATATTTTTGCATGGATGAATCTATTTTTGGGATACAAATTTAGATATTTCTTTAGAATCGCTAAAATATAACAAATGATCTTTTTAACATAAACAAGTGGCTATTGGAAAGTAACCTTAACCTAACAATAATTTCCGATCATTTGTAGAACATATTCTGTAAAGTAAACTTCATTATTATTTTTTTTGTTACTTAAGGAGGTATATCGGGATACGAGGGAAATGAGGAGTGCAGGGGGATCCTATGCTTTTCTTATGGGACTAAAACCCACTGCCAATTTGAAAAAATTAAATTCTATTGAAATTATTTGTGATAAACATTATCTATATAGCAAAGAAATCTACTCATATGCACATAGCATACGTATTGACTAATTAACAACATAAACATATCATATTTAAGTAGTTTTAAATTATATTTAATGAACGCATAAAGACTATGTAGATGTGGCAACAGCGCTAATAATTGACTAGCAGTTGTACACACTGCGAACCTACAGACCTCGGACATCGGAGATATTGCGCGTCAAATTCGGGTAAAGATGCGTACGCGTTCAAAAATGTATTGTGTGTAAACTATGTACAATATAATTATTATATATAGCAAATATATCGTATTATCCTCGCGAAGATTTGTATCCTTTATTTAAAATCCGTAAATCATGTGAACTGGTAAAACAACGAGAATTATGTTAATTTAGTTCTAAAGAAATGAAATGACACTCGCGCCCATCTCTCGTCCAAGTCAAAGAAAATGTTGGATGCAATTTTGAAGGTTCTGTGATAGAAATTACATTATTACTCACTGTTCGTGTTTTTAATCTCTATTTTAGTAATGTTACAAAAGTTTTGCAACTATAACTAATTTTTTAGATATAAAGTTTGCTGAGAAATATTTATGTTCCTTTGTTATTCCGTACAAATGCTTTTATCTCAAGAATTACTAATTATATTAATCAAGTAAAGAAAACTTTATATAACCCTAAATATTGCTGGGTAATGATTACGACGTTTTTATAAACCATTAAGTATATTAAAATGATTTATCAACTGTATTTTTCATTCCAATAAATATATCACAGCTTTTTTAATTATTAATCTAGTTTTTTAAAAACATTATAAAAAATCATCTGTTGTGGATAATTTATTGTTGATAACAATGTACATGAGATTTAGGAAAAATGTATATGTTTGAAATCAATTTCGTTTTTATCAAGTCTTTCAAATGTATTCCCTCCTTGCTGTCAGCTGATTATTGCGAGGTTGCCACATTAATCCTCAAGTCAGACAGAAATGCAATTATTCGTTCATGTTTCTAATTAATACAGCTGTACTATGTTCAAAACTTACATTAGTTTTACATCAAAAATAAGATAATACTGTGTACTATCTAATGAAAAGTTTTGTTTCACAATTTCTACATTTTATTCTCAGTTATGGGCAAAAAAGAGCCGCACCGTCCATCTATGTTAAAATGAACAACTTTCAACAACAATATCCCAAAATCTAGATTCAAAAAAATATAACACACAGAGGGAGCACTGGATAATACGCTATATAAATTTCAAGTACATTTGTGCATTTGAGTAAACCCGATATACCTCCTTAAATTTATAAAAATTCATAAAAAATTTTAGTCATTTAAATTTTCTTCAATGGGGTTGTAAATTTATAAAATAAATATTTGATGTCCCAATTAACTTTTTTTTTATTTCTATTTGAACCAAAATTAGAAGAATTATTATGAAATTAAATTCACATTCTTAAATTTTCTCAATAAGGTCTTTAACAAGGTAGAAGTTTTACAGGACCAAGAAGTTTTAATCTGCAAAATATACTTTCTTACCGTTTTACTTTTAATATCTTAAATTTGTATCCCATTTTAAATTGAGAAAATATTTTTATCTGGAAAAGGTTAGTCTTTTATAAATAAATCCATCTTCATAAAGCGACAATGAAAATAAAATTAACAGTCTGAAATACTCAGAAAACTGTTCAGTGCTTGCTTTTATGAAGTGTATAAAATCATAAAATATCAATCGATACCTGTTTTTTATGCATCACTTGAAATTTTTTCAGAGCATCTCCCTCGGAAGATGAAGTCGTTGACCGCGCAAATGACTGTCAATTTGAATCTGAGGGAACCAGAAATAATTCCAAAATAAACCAAAAGAAACACCTTACACAACACCAGTTGAAACACGAAAACATCCCCGAAGAGCAGATGTATAAATGTAATTCGTGTGAATATAAGACCGTTTTAAAACGCTGTCTTACCCAACATCTGCGAGTGCACAAAAGCCTTCCCGGAAAGCGAGAATTTAAATGTGATTTATGTGACTATGAAACGATTTCTAAGTATCATCTCAAGCGACATCAACTGAAACACAAAGGCATCCCCGAAGAACGGATGTTTAAATGTGATTTGTGCGATTACAAAACCAGTCGGAAAGATAATCTTGCACAACATCAGTTAAGGCACCGAGTCATCACTGATAAGCAATTGTATAAATACGATTCGTGTGATTATAAAACTGTTGATAAGTATCGTTTTAAACGACATGTGCTCGGGCACAAAGAACAGATGTTCAAATGTGATTCATGCAATTTCAAAACCAGTCAAAAGAATTACCTTACAAAACACCAGCTGAAACACAAAGACATCCCCGAGGACCAATTGTTTAAATGCTGTTCATGCAGTTATAAAACGATTTATAAGCAACGTTTTACACTGCACCAACTGACACACAAAGACAAATCCGAGGAGAAGGTCTATAAATGTGATTGGTGCGATTTCAAAACGGATTATAAGCGCTCTATGGCACGACATCAACTTAGACACAAAGAATTCATCCCTGAAGAGCAGATATATAAATGTGATTCGTGTGAATATAAGACCATTTTAAAGCGTTGTCTTACCCAACATCGGCGAGTACACAAAAGCCTTCCCGAAAAGCGAGAATTTAAATGCGATATGTGCGACTATGAAACGATTTATAAGTACGATCTCAAGCGACATCAACTGATACACAAAGACATCCCCGAAGAACAGATGTTTAAATGTTATTCCTGTGATTATAGAACCGGTCAAAAGAGGCTTCTTGCATCTCATCAGCTGAAACACAAAGACATCCCCGAAGAACAGATGTTGAAATGTGATTCGTGCGATTACAAAACCAGTCGAAAGAGTAGTCTTGCACAACATCAATTAAGGCACCGAGTCTTCACCCAGGAGCAATTGTATAAATGCGATTCGTGCGATTATAAAACTTATAATAAGTATCTTCTCGCACAGCATCGGCTCAGGCACAAAGACATCTCCCAAGAGCAGATGTTGAAATGTGATTCCTGTGATTACATAACGAATCAAAAGAAACATCTTACAGCACATCAGTTAAGACACAAAGTCATCACCGAGGAGCAATTCTTTAAATGCAATTCGTGTGATTATAAGACCATTAAAAAGGGTCATTTTACACGACATCTGCTCAGGCACAAAGACATCCCTCGAGAGCAGATGTTGAAATGTGATTCCTGCAATTATAGAACTATTTATGGGAGCACTCTGGCAAGGCATCGGTTAAAACATAAAGACGTCCCTGAGGACCAGATGTTTAAATGCTATTCATGCAATTATAAAACCGTTTATAAGCAAATTCTTGCAAAGCATCAATTTGTACACAAAGACCTCTCTGCAGAGAAGTGGTATAAATGTGATACTTGCGATTATAAAACTAAGAATAAGAACTACTTTACGCAACATCAACAAAAACACGAAGCTTTCCGCAAAGGTCAGATTTATAAATGTGATTCCTGTGACTATAAATCCGTTTTTAAATACAATCTTGCACAACATAAACGGAGACAGGGACACCTCCATGGAGCAGATGTATAAGTGCTGTTCTTGCGATTATAAGACAGTGTGTAGGCGCCTTCTTGTGCAACATCTGCAAACACACAAAGCAGATGTTGAAATGTCATTCGTGCCATTATAAAACTAGTCTCATCAGTTAAGACAAAAGATGCACTGATTAGTGTTGCTGGAGTTAAAGTTAAACTGGTTTTATAAGTCGGGTTGCTTTGCCAGTTGACAGAAGCAGTAAGGGCTGGATTATGACTTTTATGATGCATGTCAAACTACTAGCATTGTTTTAAATACTCCGTATAATTAATCAATGCTGGTAGATACAAGCAAATATGTACACAATATTTTTTACATTGAACACAACCGGCGAATTCAGACGAGTCCAAATCATAAGTTGCGTACGGCAGAACGGCAAACAGCGCATCCTTCTCAGCCTGAATAGGCCCTACATTGCTTGCCATTACGATGGAGAGGTGTATTCGAATATTGCAGAGTTTGAAAATCACGTCCGATCGAATTCAGAATTACTGGAAATAGTGGTTTATAAACAATTTCTAAGCATGCAAATAACTTTCGTACAGCAGTAGTTTTAGTTTCGATGTATTCTCTGAAATGGCAAATAAATTTGTAACCTATATATAAATATAAATAGTTGTGTTATAAAGGAATGTAGTTCTTTATACAATTTAAAATAAAAATATTTTGATATTTGTAATATCTGTTAAATTGTTTTTCCTTCCGAGAAGAGGAGGAACGACGTATCTTAAACTTTTCTAGACGTTTCCCCATTTTTGGGAATCGAAATTGAGGTTATAATGAACAGTGATTGCCCAAAGACCGCTAAAACTCTAAAAGTTCATATAAATTGAAAACGCTCCAACTTGACGTTGTGCAGCATAGAACATTACAAGTTTATGCTATGTAGAAACCATAGAACAACAATAAAATTCACTAGAAATTTATTGTTCTATGATTATAACATAACCTAGAAACTTTTTGCGGGTTCGTGTTGTGTGAAAGGTTTTTTTTTGTTATAAAATATTTTCGCATTAATGTTAAAAAACTATAAAGCATGTTCAAAGAGGAATCGTCCTGTAGGCTTTGCCTTAGTGTCGTAAATGATGAAAATCTCGTAGTAATAGAAGAAACTATTAAAGCAGTTCTAGATGTTCTTTTACTAAAACTAGTAAGAAATACCGCTGTGATTTTTTGACATTACTGATATAATTTACATTTTAGAACGGGAAAGAAAAGAAAGAATCTATAATGTGCAATGCCTGTTCCATTAAACTGTTTGCGGCATTCAACTTCAAGGCGACCTGTACGGATACCGAGGACCGTATCTTTCCATACATCGATTCTGAAATGGAGACGCCGGTCGACCTAAGAGAAATTTATCTAAAGGAAAGAGGTAAAGAGCATTTAAAAGATATGTTGGAAGACGAGAGGATTTGTCGTTTGTGTATGCAAGTGATAACCTGTGGATTTACACCAGCAAAAGAACTGGATGTCGATACACTCTGTCAATATATTCCCGAAGTGGTAAATACAAATTTTTGTTCGAATTATATTCATGTTCATTCGTATAACAGAAAAAAATATGCAATAGATTTTTTCTTGCAGAACTTGACTTCCACCACAGATACCGTTATTTGCAATGTCTGCATCAATTCTTTGGTCACCCACACGAGTTTCTTAAAGGGCTGTTTTAACGTGGAAGAGAAAATTACAAATATTTCAGACAACAGAAGAACCATAGAGAGTCCATTTCATATTATCACAGAAGAAATTGAACTAAAATCCGAAGATTACAAGTAAGTTGGAATAATTTTCAATTTTCTCTTTAATCTTTTTATTAATTTTCAATGATCTGAAAATTTCATATTACGGTTTGGTGTGAATATAAATGTTTAAACACATCAACTATGTAGATAGCAGGTGTTTTGGTCAAAATTTTTGATAATGGGCATTAGAAAATGAGGGACCATGACCGATTGCAGTCCAAAATGGCTATTCAGTGATTTTAAAACCAAAACATACAATTATCAATTATTTTCTTCATCTGTTTTTTTTCTTAACAGTTTAGAGTGAAGTTACTTACGAAAACGCTTATAATAAAATTCGAAAAATGCTCAATTAAGGAGGTATATCGGGGTCCAAGATAAGTGAGGATCGCATGGCGGGTCCTATGCTTTTCTTATGGGAGTAAAACCCGCTGCCAATTTGAAAAAATTAAATTCCATTTAAATTATTTGCGATAAACATTATCTACAGGGTGATTCATTAACAATGGGAAATGTAAAATATAATTATTATATATAGCAAATATATCGTATTATCCTCGCGAAGATTTGTATCTCTTATTTAAAATCCGTAAATCATGTGAACTGGTAAAACAACAAGAAGATAATTATGTTAATTTAGTTCTAAAAAAATTAAGTGACACTCGCGCCCATCTCTCGTCCAGTCAAAAAAAATGTTGGATGCAATTTTGAAGGTTCTGTGATAGAAATTACATTATTACTCACTGTTCGTGTTTTTCATCTCTATTTTAGTAATGTTACAAAAGTTTTGCAACTATAACTAATTTTTGTTTGCCGAGAAATATTTATGTTCCTTTGTTATTCTGTACAAATGCCTTTATCTCAAGTATTACTAATTATATTAATCAAGTAAAGCAAAATTTATGTAACCCTAATATTGCTGGGTACGGATTACTGATGGTTTTATAAACCATTAAAATATATTAAAAGGATTTATCAACTGTATTTTTTATTCCAATAAAAATATCATAGCTTCCTGGCCTTTTTAAATTAATTTAGTTTTTTAAAAACAGTACAAAAAATAATCTGTTGTGGATAATTTATTGTTGATAACAATGTACATGGGATTTTGGAAAAATGTATGTGTCTGAAATCAATTTCATTTTTATCAAGTCTTTCAAATGTATTCCCTCCTTACTGTCAGCTGATTGCGACGTTGCCACATTAATCCTCAAGTCAGACATAAATGCAATTATTGGTTTCTGTTTCTAANACACCAGTTGAAACACAAAAACATCCTCGAAGAGCATGTGTTGAAATGTCACTTATGCAGTTATACAACTATTTATAAGAAGCGTTTTGCACGCCATCAGCTCAGACACAAAAACATCCCCCAAGAGCAGATGTACAAATGTGACTCCTGTGAATATAAGACCATTTTAAAACGCTATCTTATGCGACACCAGCGAATACACAATAGCGTTCCCGGAAAGCGGGAATTTAAATGTGATTCGTGTGACTATAAAGCTGCTCATAAGAGCCGTCTTATGCAACATCAATTGAAACACAAAGACATCCCCGAAGAACAGATGTTGAAATGTGACTCGTGCGATTACAAAACCGGTCAAGAGAGATATTTTACACAACATGTGTTGAGACACAAAGACATCTCCGAGGAGCAGATGNTGAAACACAAAGACATCCCCGAAGAACAGATGTTGAAATGTGACTCGTGCGATTACAAAACCGGTCAAGAGAGATATTTTACACAACATGTGTTGAGACACAAAGACATCTCCGAGGAGCAGATGTTTAAATGCTGTACGTGCAGCTATAAAACTGTTTACAAGCAACGCCTTGCAGATCATCAACTTACACACAAAGACATCTACGAGGAGAAGAGGTATAAATGTGATTTGTGCGATTTTAAAACTGATTATAAGGGCAATATGGCACAACATCAACTTAGACACAAAGGAATCCTCGAGATGTTGAAGTGCGATTCCTGCGATTTTGAAACACATGCAAGGAGCAGTCTTGCACGACATCGACAAAAACACGAAGCCTTCCGGGAAGGTCAGATGTATAAGTGTAATTCCTGTGATTATAAAACCGTTTTTAAATACAATCTTGCACAACATCAACGGAGACAGGGACATCTCCATGGAACAGATGTATAAATGTTGTTCTTGCAATTATAAGACAGTGTGTAGGCGCCTTCTTGTGCAACATCTGCAAACACACAAAGCAGATGTAGAAATGTCATTCGTGCCATTATACAACCGGTAAACGGCAAACAGCGCATCCTTCTCAGCCTGAATAGGCCCTACATTGCTTGCCACTACGATGGAGAGGTGTATTCGAATATTGCAGAGTTTGAAAATCACGTCCCATCGAATTCAGAATTACTGAAAATAGTGGTTTATAAACAATTTCTAAGCATGCAAATAACTTTCGTACAGCAGTAATTTTAGTTTCGATGTATTCTCTGAAATGGCAAATAAATTTGTAACCTACGTATATAAATATAAATAGTTGTGTTATAAAGGAGTGTAGTTCTTTATACAATTTAAAATAAAAATATTTTGATATTTGTAATATCTGTTAAATTGTTTTTCCTTCCGAGAAGAGGAGGAACGACGTATCTTAAACTTTTCTTGACGTTTCCCCATTTTTGGGAATCGAAATTGAGGTTATAATGAACAGTGATTACCTCAAGACCGCTAAAACTCTAAGGCCGGTGTCCCATGCATCCGAAATCCGATGTACGATATCCGAAAATATTTTAATTCGTACGAATGATAATATGCATCCGAAATTAATCTCATAGAAATCATGTATAGAACCATGGAATTTATTACAAATTACAAGATGAAGGAGAATCATTTTCAAATGACAACCATAGGTATATATTATAGAAAATATACGTAATATTATATTTTCTACATTCGACATTATAATATAACATTTATTTGACTGTAAATATATAAAACAACAATCATAGTATGTTAAAAACTTAAAAAGTGAGGTTCAAAAACATACGATTTCGGATAAAAGTTAAAATTATTTCTACTTTTTCCGACGTCGTATGAATTTTAAAAATTCCGGATGAAAATGAGCGGTAAAGATTTGAATGTATATTAACCAATAGGAACACTTTCGGACCTTCGTATCGTCGGAATTCGGATGCATGGGACACCGGCCTAAAAGTTCATATAAATTGAAACCGCTGCAACTTGACGTTCTACAGAATAGAACATTAAAAGTTTATGTTATGTAGAAACCATAAAACAATAAAATTCACTAGTAATTTAATGTTCTATGATTATAACATAACCTATAAACTTTTTGTAAGTTCGTGTTATATGAAGAGTATTTTTTTTCTTATAAAATATTTTCGCATTAATGTTAAAAAACTATAAAGCATGTTCAAAGAGGAATCGTCCTGTAGACTTTGCCTTAGTGTCGTAAATGATGAAAATCTCGTAGTAATAGAAGAAACTATTAAAGCAGTTCTAGATGTTCTTTTACTAAAACTAGTAAGAAATATCGCTGTGATTTTTAGACATTACTGATATAATCTACATTTTAGAACGAGAAAGAAAAGAAAGAATCTATAATGTGCAATGCCTGTTCTCTTAAACTGTTTGCGGCATTCAATTTCAAGGCGTCCTGTACGGATACCGAGGACCGTATCTTCCCATACATCTATTCTGAAATGGAGACGCCGGTCGACCTAAGAGAAATTTATCTAAAGGAAAGAGGTAAAGAGCATTTAAAAGATATGTTGGAAGACGAGAGGATTTGTCGTTTGTGTATGCAAGTGGTCACCTGTGGATTTACATCAGTAAAAGAACTGGATGTCGATACACTCTGTCAATATATTCCCGAAGTGGTAAATACAAATTTTTGTTCGAATTATATTCATGTTCATTCGTATACCAGAAAAAAATATGCAATAGATTTTTTTTGCAGAACTTGACGTCCACCACAGATCCCGTTGTGTGCAATGTTTGCATCGATTCTTTGGACACCCACACGAGTTTTTTAAAGGGCTGTTTTAACGTGGAAGAGAAAATTAAAAATATTTCAGACAACAGAACCATAGAGAGTCCATTTCATATTATCACAGAAGAAATTGAACTAAAATCCGAAGATTACAAGTAAGTTGGAATAATTTTCAATTTTCTCTTTAATCTTTTTATTAATTTTCAATGATCTGAAAATTTCATATTACGGTTTGGTGTGAATATAAATGTTTAAACACATCAACTATGTAGATAGCAGGTGTTTTGGTCAAAATTTTTGATAATCGGCATTAGAAAATGAGGGACCATGACCGATTGCAGTCCAAAATGGCTATTCAGTGATTTTAAAACCAAAACATACAATTATCAATTATTTTCTTCATCTGTTTTTTTTTCTTAACAGTTTAGAGTGAAGTTACTTACGAAAACGCTTATATTAAAATTCAAAAAATTCTCAATTAAGGAGATATATCGGGGTCCGAGGGAAGTGAGGAGCGCAGAGGGTGCCTTTGCTTTTCTTATGGGACTAAAACCCGCTGCCAATTTGAAAAAATTAAATTCTATCGAAATTATTTGCTATAAACATTATCTATATAGCAAAGAAATCTATTCATATGCACATAGCATACATATTGACTAATTAACAACATGAAAATATCATATTTAAGTAGTTTTAAATTATATTTAATGAATGCATAAAGACTATGTAGATGTGGCAACAGCGCTAATAATTGACTAGCAGTCGAACACACTGCGAACCTATAGACCTCGGACATCGAAGATATTGCGCGTCAAATTCGGGTAAAGATGCGTACGCGTTCAAAAATGTATTGTGTGTAAACTATGTAAAATATAATTATTATAACGAGCGTTCAAATAAAAACGTGGTCGAAGTTGGCTCTGACACATTGGACGTAGGGCGTAGCTTATAGCGACCAACTTAACCTCATTTCTCAACGAGCTGTATAGCAGCTGTCAGTTTCAATAACAAAGCGGCGATACAGCGCTTTGACAGATGACGTTTAAGTTCATTTGCTATACGCTACGCCCTACGTCCAAATTTTCAGAACCAACTTGACCACGTTTTTATTTGAACGCTCGTTATATAGCAAATATATCGTATTATCCTCGCAAAGATTTGTATCCTTTATTTAAAATCCGTAAATCATGTGAACTGGTAAAACAACGAGAAGATAATTATGTTAATTTAGTTCTAAAGAAATGAAATGAATTTCGCGCCCATCTCCCGTCCAAGTCAAAGAAAATGTTGGATGCAATTTTGAAGGTTCTGTGATAGAAATTACATTATTACTCACTGTTCGTGTTTTTCATCTCTATTTTAGTAATGTTACAAAAGTTTTGCAACTATAACTAATTTTTTAGATATAAAGTTTGCTGAGAAATATTTATGTTCCTTTGTTATTCTGTATAAATCTTTTCTCAAGTATTACTAATTATATTAATCAAGTAAAGAAAACTTTATGTAACCCTAAATATATATATTAAAATGATTTATCAACTGTATTTTTTATTCCAATAAATATATCACTTTTTTAATTAATTTAGTTTTTTAAAGACATTACAAAAAATCATCTGTTGTGGATAATTTATTGTTGATAACAATGTACATGGGATTTCGGAAAAATGTATATGTTTGAAATCAATTTCGTTTTTATCAAGTCTTTCAAATGTATTCCCTTCTTGCTGTCAGCTGATTGCGACGTTGCCACATCAGTCAGACAGAAATGCAATTATTGGATTCTGTTTTTAATTAATACAGCTGTACTATGTTCAAAACTTACATTAGTTTTGCATAAAAAATAAGTATAATAAAAAGTGTTGTTTCACAATTTCTACATTTTTTTCTCAGTTATGGGCAAAAAAAGAGCCGCACTGTCCATCTTTGCTATATAAACCTATGTTAAAATGAACAACTTTCAACAACAGTATCTCAAAATCTAGATTCAAAAAAATATGACGCACAGAGGGAGCACTGGCTAATACGCTATATAAATTTCAAGTACATACATCTGTATCAAGTAAACCCGATATACCTCCTTAAATTTATAAAAATTCATTAAAAATTTTATTCATTTAAATTTTCTTCAATGGGGATGTAAATTTAAAAAATAAATATTTGATGTCCCAATTAACTTTTTTTTTATTTCTACTTGAACCAAAATTAGATGAATTATTATAAAATTAAATTCACATTCTTAAATTTTCTAAATAAGGTCTTCAACAAAGTAGAAGTTCCACACGACCAAGAAGTTTTAATTTGCAAAATTTACTTTTGTACCATTTTACTTTTAATATCTTGAATTTGTATCCCATTTTAAATTGAGAAAATATTTTTATCTGGAAAAGGTTAGTCTTTTATAAATAAATCCATCTTCATTAAGAAACAATGAAAATAATGTTAAAACTCTGAAATACCCAAAAACTGTTAAATGCATGCTTTTATGAAGTGTATGAAATCATAAAATATCGATCGATCTCTGTTTTCTTATGCATCACTTGAAATTTTTTCAGAGCATCTCCCTCGGAAGATGAAGACTCTGACAGCGCAAGTGGCTGTCGATCTGAATTTGAGGAAACCGCAAATATTTCTACGGGCAACCGTAAAAGGAAACAAAGGAAATACCTTACACGACACCAGTTGAAACACAAAAACATCCTCGAAGAGCATGTGTTAAAATGTCACTTATGCAGTTATACAACTATTTATAAGAAGCGTTTTGCACGCCATCAGCTCAGACACAAAAACATCCCAGAAGAGCAGATGTACAAATGTGACTCCTGTGAATATAAGACCATTTTAAAACGCTATCTTATACGACACCAGCGAATACACAATAGCGTTCCTCGAAAGCGGGAATTTAAATGTGATTCGTGTGACTATAAAGCTGCTCATAAGAGCCGTCTTATGCAACATCAACTGAAACACAAATACATCCCCGAAGAACAGATGTTGAAATGTGACTCGTGCGATTACAAAACCGGTCAAGAGAGATACTTTACACAACACCTGTTGAGACACAAAGACATCTCCGAGGAGCAGATGTTTAAATGCTGTTCGTGCAGCTATAAAACTGTTTACAAGCAACACCTTGCAGATCATCAACTTACACACAAAGACATCTACGAGGAGAAGAGGTATAAATGTGATTTGTGCGATTTTAAAACTGATTATAAGGGCAATATGGCACAACATCAACTTAGACACAAAGGAATCCTCGAGATGTTGAAGTGCGATTCCTGCGATTTTGAAACACATGCAAGGAGCAGTCTTGCACGACATCGACGAAAACACAGAGCCTTCCGGGAAGGTCAAATGTATAAATGTAATTCCTGTGATTACAAAACCGTTTTTAAGCCCTATCTTACACAACATCAACTGAGACACAAAGACATCCCCGAAGAACAGATGTTGAAATGTGATTCGTGCGATTACAAAACCGGTCAAGAGAGATACTTTACACAACACCTGTTGAGACACAAAGGCATCTCCGAGGAGCACATGTTTAAATGCTGTTCGTGCAGTTATAAAACTGTTTATAAGCGACACCTTACAGATCATCAACTTACACACAAAGACGTCTCCGAGGAGAAGAGATATAAATGTGATTCGTGCGATTTTAAAACGGATTATAAGCGCAATATGGCACAACATCAACTTAGACACAAAGGAATTCTCGAGATGTTGAAATGCGATTCCTGCGATTTTGAAACACATATAAAGAGCAGTCTTGCACGACATCGACGAAAACACAGAGCCTTCCGGGAAGGTCAGATGTATAAATGTAATTCCTGTGATTATAAAACCGTTTTTAAGCCCTATCTTACACAACATCAACTGAAACACAAAGACGTCTACGACCAACAGTGGTTTGCATGCTGTTCATGCAGTTATAAAACTGTTAATAAGCACCGCCTTGCACAGCATCAACTTACACACAAAGACATCTTCGAAGAGAAGAGGTATAAATGTGATTCATGCGATTTTAAAACTGATTATAAGGGCTCTTTGGAACGACATCAACTTAGACACAAAGAAATCCTCGAGATGTTGAAATGTGATTCCTGCGATTTTAAAACACATTTAAAGAGCAGTCTTGCACAACATCAACGAAAACACAAAGCCTTCCACAATGGTCAGATATACAGATGTGATTCGTGTGATTATAAAACTATTTATAAGCAACACCTTGCACATCATCAAATTACACACAAAGATATTTTCGAGGAGAAGGACTATAAATGTGACTCGTGCGATTTTAAAACTGATTATAAGCGCAATATGGCACAACATCAACTTAGACACAAAGGAATCCTCAAGATGTTGAAATGCGATTCCTGCAATTTTAAAACACATGTAAAGAGCAGTCTTGCACGACATCGACGAAAACACAAAGCCTTCCGGGAAGGTCAGATGTATAAATGTAATTCGTGTGATTATAAAACCGTTTTTAAGCCCTATCTTACACAACATCAACTGAGACACAAAGACATCTCCGTGGGGTAGATGTATAAATGCTATTCTTGTAACTATAAAACTGTGTATAGGCACCGTCTTGTGCAACATGAATATATACACAAAGACACCCCGAAGCACAGTTGTTAAAATGCGATTATAAAACGAATCAGAAGAGACTACTTACAGGACATCAATTAAGACACAAAGTCTTCCGCAAGGAGCAGTGTTGAAATGCCATTCGTGCGATTATAAAACCGGTCAAAAGAGATATCTCCTAAGTTATCAGTTGACACAAAAAGGTCCGCTGATTAGTGCTGGAATTAAAGAAACTGATTCCACAAGTCGGGTTGCTTTGCCAGTTAACGGAAGCAATAAGGGATAGATACTGCTTACGTTGTTTGAAATACTCTATATATTTGAACAATACTGGTAGATACAAGTAAATATGTACATATTCTTTACGTTGAATACAAGCTTAGCATATATAAACCAGCAAATTCAGATGAGTCGAAATCATAAGTTGCTAATGGTAGAACGGCAAACAACGTATCCTTCTCAGCCTGAAGAGACCCTTCACTGCTTGCCGTCGGTTTGTAGTGAACACCACGTATGCAGAGGTGTATTCGAATATTGCAGTTCGAATTCAGAATTACTGAAAATAGTGTTTGTAAACAATTTCTAAGCATGCAAATAACTTTTGTACCGCAGTAATTTAAGTTTCTTTTTATTCTCTGAAATGGCAAATAAATTTGTAGTAACCTATGCATATAAATATAAATAAATGTATTATAAAGGAGTGTAGGTTTAAAATAAAAATATTTTGATATTTGCAATATGTGATAAGTTTTTGTGAATTGAGTAAAGGAACACGACCTCTTAGCAGACCGATTCTGTGGGTTGAATGAGTAGAGTATTCTAATATGTGCATGGAGTCAAAAACGCTACGCTACAACCGTGACTGATAGTCATTCTGTGTCTGTGGTTGTGTACAAACCTGATTTGTCGATCTCTGTTAACCCTGTTATATATGACTAATTGTTTTAAAGTATTCTAGCATTTAATAGTGAAAATCTATAAAATGACGTACAAAGAAGAGCCATCCTGTAGAACTTGTCTATGTCGTAAGCGATGAAAATCTCGTCGTAATAGCAGAAACTATTAAACAAGTTCTAGATGTTCTTTTGCTGAAGCTACTAAGAAACACCACTGTGACTTTAGACATTACTCATATCATTTACATTTTAGAACGTCTTCGAAAAATGTAGCCTCAACGCATAAATGTATTAAAAATAATGTAAACAGTAGTAGTATGATGCGACAGAAAAATAGTGGAAAGATTCGAAGAGAGTACAGCTCGAGGATTAGTTGAATTGACTATAGTGCACTACAATCAAATATCTATGAGTGCCTCAAAGACCTTTGCCTGTACTGGCTCTGTCTCTCTCGCACACTTCTATGCGTTTGCGATTTATATTGAGAAACCACAGTTTTCGCAGTCCATTACTTTGTAAGGTCTATGGTACATACCTAACCTAGAAGTAGATTGTAGGTTCGCGTTCGTGTTATGTATGATAAATGGTTTTTTGCGAAGTATTTTAACATTGATACTGAAAATCTCTTAAGATGATGTGTAAAGAGGAGCCATCCTGTAGACTTTGTCTTAATATCGTAAGCGATGAAAATCTTGTAGTAATAGAAGAAACTATTAAAGAAATCCTAGATATTCTTTTGCTTAAACTAGTAAGAAAAGCTGAACCTCTATAGTTTTTAAGACATTCTTGATTGATTTACATTTTAGAGCGAGAAAGAAAAGAACAAATCTATAATGTGCAATGCCTGTTCCGTCAAACTGTTTGCGGCATTCAATTTCAAAGCAACGTGTACGGATACCGAGGACTGTATCTTTCCATACATGGATTCTGGAATGGGGACGCCGGTCGACCTAAGAGATATTTATTTAAAGGAAAGAGGTAAAGAACATTTAAAAGATATGTTGGAAGACGAGAGGATTTGTCGACTGTGCATGCAGGTAGTCACCAGTGGATTTACGTCAATAAAAGAAGTCGATGTTGATTCCCTCCGCATATATATTCCAGAAGTAGTAAGTACATTATTTGATATTTGGAAACAAATTTTTGTTTGAATTATGTCCATGTGTATTCGTTTCTCTGGAAAAAAAATTTAAATAGATTTTTTTCTTGCAGAATATGACGTCCACCATAGATCCCGTTATATGCAAAGTTTGCATCGATTCGTTGGACACCCACACGAGTTTCTTAAAGGGCTGTTTTAACGTGGAAGAGGAAATTAAAAATATTTCAGACAACAAAACCATGGAAAGTCCATTCCATATTAAAGTAGAAGAGATTAAATTAAAATCTGAAGATTATAAGTAAGTCCAAAGAATTTTCAGTTTTCTCTTTAGTTTTCAACACAATTACACACCGTTTATAAAAATAAAATAAAATAAAATATAGTCCGCAATTATTGAAATTCTCAGCTCCTGTTGGTGATAGGACATTTTTTTCTTAAATTCATTTAAAAATGTTACCTTTCAAATGGCAATGATGCCATTCCGATTAAATTTCAATGATAAAAAAAAGATCTACATTTTTCGACCCGAAAAAAGAAGTCAAAGTTTCGGTAGATTTTTCGCGTATTTCCAATTATTTTGCAATACGCGCACAATTTGCACAGAAAAGTACAAGTCTTAGAGATAATTTTAAGCCCAAGGTGGGTCACGTAAGTGCATTACAGTATGACTTATCGAGATTTGAAAAAATGTAATTTTTTCGAAAAACTCAAATATTTTTAATTTTACAATAATGCATTTATTGTATTTGTTACGTATTCTAAAAGTTTTGCAAAAAAATCTTTTTTTTTTTTGGTTTTAAAGATATAGAAGTTTTAAAAAACTTCGATTTTTAGACGCTTTTTGTCAAATAGTTCATTCAATTCTACGGAACTTTTCATAATTTTTACGTGTCTGTTTAGCATGCAAAAATCTTATTTAATTGGACCATTTTGTAATCCATCTTCAATAAAAATGTTAAAGTTCCGAAATTTCAAGAAACTGTCCAAAAGATTTTTTTATTAAAGTGTATGAAATCATAAAATATCAGTCGATCCCTGCTTTTTTCAGAGAGTCTCCCCCCTTGGAAGATGAACTCGTTGAACACGCCACCGACCACCGATCTGAATATCTGGGAACAACCGTAACGAACAATACCGTAAATTCATCTGATGAGTGGATATATAAATGCGACTTCTGTGATTACGAAATCGGCGAGTTCAGACTTTTTGCCCGTCACCTTCGACGACACAAAGACATCCCGGTGAAGCAAATGTATAGATGTGACAAGTGCGATTATAAAACCGAGCATAACTGGTATCTAACACGACATCGGCTTAGACACAGAGACATCCCCGAAGAGCAGATGCTGAAATGTGATTTGTGCGATTACAAAACTATTTTTAAGTCTTACATCGACCGACACCAGCTGAGGCACAAAATCATCAAAGAGTTGAAGTGTGACCTTTGCGATTATAAAACCGTTCATAAGAAACTTCTTACACGACATCAGAACCGGCACGAAGGCGTCCCGGCGGGGAAGATCTATAAATGTGATACTTGCGAGTACAAAGCCTATAAAGAGGAACGTCTTACACTTCATAAACTGAAACACATAGGAATCCAAGAAGAGCAGTTTAAATGCCCTTCGTGTGATTATAAAACCAATCGTAAGACTTACCTTAGACGACATCAGCTGAAGCATATAATCGTCCCAGAAGAGCATATGGCGAAGTGCGACTTTTGTGATTATAAAACCCCTCAAAGGAGATTCCTTATTAGTCATATGCGGCGGCACAAAGACTTCCCGGTGAAGAAGATACACAGATGTGATACGTGCGATTATAAAACTGTGCGTAAGAACCAACTTACGCAACATCTGTTTAGACACAAAGGCGTTCCGGAAGAGCAGATGTTCAAATGCGATTCGTGCAGTTATAGAACCGTTCATCAGCAATACCTGAAACGACATCAGCGCCAGCACGCAGACGCTTATAAATGCGACTCGTGCGATTTTAAAACCTGGTACAAATATTATCTTGTACGACATCAGAAGGTGAAACACACGGACATCTCCGAAGAGCAGATGCTGAGATGCGATCTCTGCGATTACAAAACAGGTCATAGGTTTTACCTCAAAACCCATCATCAATTAAAACACACCCCTATAGAAAAGAAGTACAAATGCGACTCGTGCGATTTTAAAACCATTTATAAGAAAAGTCTTATGTTTCATCAGTGGAGACACAAAAACATCCCCGAAGATCAGATGTTCAAATGCCATTTGTGCAATTTTGAAACTATTTACAAGAACAGTCTTGCAGGCCATCAGCTCAGACACGAAAGTATCCCCGAGGGGCAGATGTATAAATGTGATTCGTGCGATTATAAATCCATTTTCAAGCGCTACGTTACACAACATCAACGAATACACAAAAGCATTCCTAAAAATGTTAAATTTGAATGTGATTCGTGCGACTATAAATCGGCTTATAAGAAAAATCTTACGCAACATCAACTGAAACACAAAGACATCCCCGAAGAACGGATGTTCAAATGTAGTTTGTGCAATTACAAAACCAGGCGAAGGGGTAATCTTACAAAACATCAGTTAAAACACAAACTTCTCTGCAAAGAGCAGATGTTGAAATGTTATTTGTGCAATTACAAAACCGATTGTAAGCAACACCTTGAAGAGCATCAACTGACACACAAAGACATCTCCGATGAGAAGGGGCATAAATGTGATTCAAGCGATTTTAAAACCGATTGTAAGCAACATCTTGCACAGCATCAACTGACACACAAAGACATATCCAAGGAGGAGGGGCATAAATGTGACTCGTGTGATTTTAAAACCGATTGTAAGCAACTTCTTGCACAGCATCAACTGACACACAAAGACATCTCCAAGGAGAAGGGGCATAAATGTGATTGGTGCGATTTTAAAACCGATTGTAAGCAACTTCTTGCACAACATCAACTGACACACAAAGAAACTCCCGAGGAGATGTTGAAATGCGATTCCTGCGCTTTTAAAACCATTTCTAAGATCAGCCTTACACGACATCAACTAAAACACAAACTTTTGTGCGAGGTGCAGATGTATAAATGTGATTCGTGTGATTATAAAACGGTTTTTAAGCCCTGTCTTACACGACATCAACTGAGACACAAGACATCTCGGTAGGACAGACGTACAAATGCGATTCTTGTGATTATAAAACTGCGTACAAGCACCTTCTCGTGCAACATCTACAAACACACAAAGACATCCCCGAAGAGGCCGATGCTGAAAAGCTATTTCCGCAACTATAGAACAAATCAAACGAGACTTCTTACAGAAACAGCAGTTAGGACACAAAGTCTTCAGCAAAGAGCAGATGTTGAAGTGTGTTGTTGACGAGTGTTGTTGGAATTAAAGAAACTGGCTTTATAAATCGGGTCGCTTTGCCAGTTGACGGAAGCAATAAAAGCTACAACATTTATGATGCATATCAAACTGCTAGTTGCAACACAAATCAAAAGATGTCTCGAAGTGCAGTCATAAATTGTGTTTCTGATGTATAGAAAAAAATTAATGTTGTGCACCAGTGAATTACATCATAATTTAAACTATTTCAATCATTACAACTTTGTATCATGGGATAATTTACAACAAATATTGTTGTAAATTATTATTAAAAGACAAATAAACAAAGTTTATTTGTCAGTGGTAAAGGAGAATTCTGAATGAAACGAGCACAACAATTCTGCACAAATTGAATTCTATTTCTGCTAACACTATCCAAAGAAAAACTACAAACAATCACAGTAATTAAAATGAGATAAAACAAGTGATTCACAAAGAGATTTCTTTAATGAGTAATTTAAAATATGTCGATTAGAGTATAGAAGTTTTAAAGATATAAAAGATTTTTGCAGCATTTTCTTTACATAGTCTCTAAAGCGAAAGTCAGAATCTAATGTAATACCCAAATTTTTAGTAGAGTAAACATAGGACAAACGCACATTATCAATGGTTCTGGTTCTTTAAGAACATTAATATGACTTGTGCTGCTAAAATTAATTGTGATTTAGATGGATTTAATTTCAAATTGTGTTCTGCAGACAGTTTACTTAACATATGTAAATCACGGTTAATTGTTTCCATAGCATGTACATGGTCCTTTCGCTCAATGTCTAAATAAATTTGAGTATCATCAGCGAATGCTTGAATCTTACAGTTCACCATAGACTTAAGGATATCTGATGTGTAAATTAAAAACAACAACGGACCTAGGGCGGACACTTGTGGTACACCAGAAGTAATATTTATGGATGAAGAATTCTTTGTGAACGATTAAATAGGTATGATTTCATCATTTTAAGTGACAATCTGTCAAAGCTAAAGTATTTCAATTTAGAACAAATTAACTCGTGATTGATAGTATCAAAAGCCTTCGAGAAATCCAGCATAACCAGCGCAGTCTCTTCCACAGTCACGACCTTGAATAAAATCGTCAGTAGCTTTAGCCAGTGCTACAGAGGTACCGAATCCCTTCCTAAATCCACACTGACAATCAGGTAAAATTTTATTAGCATTAACATAACTGTACATTTGTCGATATAGAACTTTTTTAAATATTTTTGAAACTGCAGGCAGAATACTTATAATTCTTAAGGCTGGAAACTGACGCATCCCTGGTTGCCTACATCATACCGAAAAGCAGTAGAAAATAGCCCTTTTTATTCCAATATAACTTTTTAAAGCAACGGAAGAAAGTAGTAAAATTTCACATCACATTTGGCAAAGTATAAACGAAGACAGTAAAGTAAAAATTAATTGGGATATGTAGATAATTCTTGAGAAATTAATTTCTAAATATGAAGGTTTTTTGGACTTTTACAAACAAACGATTATTTCTTCATAGTATTATAGAATTATATAATTTTTTATATAGTTGTCTTTTAATAAATAAACTGATTAGACTTTGTTTCGTAGTTTGTTCACCACTTTATTATTTAAAAAGTTATATTGGAATAAAATTATTAAAAATTATTCATTCTAAATCAAATTATATCTGACCTTTAATTCGCTTGATTTGTAATAGATGTCGCACTTGTAAAAATTAATTTTGAATGGACTCAGGTTATTTTTAACGAACACCTGTTGTATTGTGGTTAATTTGGTATAACCTGTTTCTGAATTGGTAGTCATGGTTTTCTGTTAATTGATAAGTAAATATTTAAAGAATGTCATGGTCATTTTAGATATATTATAGTATAAAAGTATACAACTAACAGTGCAAGTCCATATAATTATATAATTTTAGAAAATATGAAATATAAACAATTTTTTGTTTATTTAAAATCATAATTTATAATTAATATACCTATATTAGTATGTCTACGGTTAGTGGATATGAGGGAAAACATTTTTATTTTCAGTTTTAGTGGAAAAAGTAATTCGTGACAAAAAATATTTTGCTTTTAAATTGAATATGGTTGTCATGAAAAACTGTAATTTATATAAGTATATAGAGGGTGATCAGAAATTTAACAAAATTAATAACGTTGAAGAATAAACTGCTTTTGTTTTCGATAATATAAAAAAATGTTAATAAGAAAAGTTGTTCATAACGGAAAGTTATGTTATAATTACGATTTGTGAATAAAGGGGCCTACTTTGGTATAAACAGAAATGAAAAAATATATATTTTTAATAATTAATAGTAATTCTTGATAAAAAAAATTCGCATATTAATATAAATAGAATTTTAATTTTGAATATACATAATAATGAGAAAATATAAAAAATATGTACGATATACTTATTTTGTCCAAAAATTGTGTAAATAATTATGTACAAAATGACGATTTGAGACTAAATTTTTTTTTTATGAGAAATAGGTATTCAATTCACTTCAATTGAAAAAATAGTTGTAGGTACTTTAATACCTCCAATATAAACAGAAATTCTGTGGAACAGTGTAGTTTAATAAATATGTAAATAAACGAAAGTAATAAAGAAATAAATAGAATAGGCACAGTAGAACAGGAAAAAATTTAAAAAATCATAAAATAAAATTATTTCTTTTTATTAATTTGTGCTTCTATAATATATTGTGGATCCATACATCTTTTTCCCTGTGGAATATTTTTGTATATTATTTCTGGTAGTATACAATTTTTATAAAATTGTTCCAAATTTGTTGCCATTGATTTTTTCCATAATTCTTAATCTTTCTTAATTTGTTCTACATAGAGCGGGTTGTTTTCACCACTATAGGTATATTACGAAATAACATATAGACTTCTTCCGGTTATATTTAACTGTCTCTGTATCTGAAAGTAAGAAAAGAATTTTACCAGATATTTGTTATAAACATTGATAATTATACATTTTTACCCATTATGCTTTTGATTTACCATAATGATATATCTAGTCATATACAGGGTGGCACAATAGTGGGATAAAGTTTAGTATAACTGCCAGTAGTAGTGATATGAAAAAAGTTACTTGCTCGGATTCACATTTTATTATTATTTCCATTATTCATTATTTTCAGACCGAATTAAACATTCAGAAAATCTTGTTTTTGGCCTGAAGATTTTGCCCTATACGACTATAACTGAAAATAAGTATAAACTGTGTCACACTATTGGAACAGCCTGTATGTGCATTGCAACAACAATATGTCATATTTATATTACGGCTAAGTAAGCGGAAAGTCCATTGTCGCATATGTAATTTTTATTTTCAAATAATCAAATACAATACCTACATATTTATTTTAATACCTATTATTTATTTGAATTTAGTACTAAGTACAACTATGCCTAGCAAATTGTAATACTTACTCTGTTAATGTTTTTTCTTTCATTTAAAAAATAGTAAACTCCACAAATAAAATATTTCGTAGCCACAACGCAACAATAAAAGATAACAGCTCAAAGTTCCATACAAGAAATAACTACATTCGCACCTACTCCAGTCCGAATCCACATAATACTAAAATGTAGAAAATATTATGAAATAAAACTTTTAGTTGGTTGCAAATGTTATAAATTTGTACAACCACTTGCCATCCTCCTTTTTTGTAAATATGTACATAATAATATGTAGAAGATAGAATAGAAATACATTTCAGAACAAAAAACCGGCGGCCGCAAATTGGAGTTTTTATTATTTTATTACCCTTCTCTTTCTATATGCAATTATGAGATAGCAAGAGAGTGGGATGGAAGTATAGGCCGGACAACTCATTATCGTGCACGTGTACGTGCACCTGGCATTTTCTCGTCTTTTTTAGGTGTATTTTGCCGGAATTTGAAATAATCGTACTATTTTTACTATAAACGTATTTCCTGTAGCGACATCTATATGAATATTGTAGTACTTTGTTAGATGAAACGGGACTTCAATTTCTGTTCTTAAATCTGAACAAGTGGAGTGATCAGGAATCTTGGGAAGAGGAATACCTATAGAAAGTTTCCACGACTGAGGAAAATATCCAGCTTTGATGCAAGAGTTGATAATGTGCGTAACGTATTGATCGATAAATGGACTGCAGTATTTTAACATAATAGAGCATATCTCATCAACACCTTTAGACTTCTTACTACACCTATTTAAATAATAATTAACAAGTAGAGGAAAAAGATGATTCGTCTGTAAATAAAATCTGCCTAGCAAATTCATTATTTTCATCTATTTTTCTTGAGAAGTTTGCATTTTATAGGTTTCATAACCATTCTTTTTTAAGATGCGACAAACTGTACGACTTGAAATGTCAAGTTGTTCGGAAATTTGGGAGGAAGAACACGGCTCACTTACTTCCACAAAAGCACAAACATTAACCTCTTTTTCTCTCCTTGCTTCAGGAATTTGACGAGGTCCCTGATTGCTACATTTCGTACACCGATTAACACATCCACACTCCTCAAACTTACGAAAAATAGTCAAAGCAGTTCTAGCAGTGGGGACTGGTTCGTCTGGATAGGAAAATATAAATTGACCATTTAATAATACTAATTTTTTGTTCCACACTACACCATTTTAATTTTGTAATATTCCGTCTACTTCTTACCAAAGGTTTGAGTGGAATAATAATAAAAATAAACAAACGGCAAAGCGCTGTAGGTATTCGGTCGGTTCACAAAAAACGCAACGACGCACGTGCGCTCCCAAAGCCAACCAATTACGAGAGTCGAAGTCGCAGCCTCCACGCGAAGTTGATAGGGGAGATGCGTGTAGTTTACTTAGTCTATGCGAAAGAATTACCTGGCCAGACCGGTATACTCTTCCCTTTTATTTGTTGCCCCCAAGAACGTCTTAAATAAAATCTAAACGTCAGCTTAGTCAGAAAACTGAGACCTTTATTTCTTTGCCTCTATTCCGATTGTATATTCCTATGTTGGCATTTTTTGTTTATCAAAACAGACAACTCGCACAGAAATTTTAACTGTATTTAGAACTGCATAAATTTGTAATCTATAACCAGCAATAACAGAACGCTAAGAAATATTCTAAGTTTAAATTTTGTCATGTGATTCGGTGACGTCATCTAGGTAGACCGAGAACGCATATGGGTCGTCTGCCTTCTACCCTACAATTCGCCTGCCGACTAGACGGAAGTCAATCTAAAAAAAGTGCATGCCGGGAGCCTCAAAGCAAAGTTAATTTCGGTGTCCCTAGGTTCCCGTTATTATACTCATTCGTCTTCTTGATTCTCAATCGCACTGAGTGGCGTCACGAATAAGCACCACAGTAAACGCTCGTTTAAAACGTTTATTTTGCTCGCCTTACTTTAGTACGAATGGCCTATCTAGACTGTGCCTCAGTGCTACTTTTCACTAATTAATTCAGCGCACATTTCGTACCTAATGTTATTCATAGATTACTATTTGGTTGTTCAATTTTGTCAGTCTGTAAAATGGTTCAGGTCATAATTAATTGCAAGTTTTTTTTCCCCAAATATGTTCTATTCTACAACTTTGAAAAAAAATCAGCTTTTGTCACATTGTTTTCTCAAATGAGTACCACATACTACACATTCTACGTTTATTTACTCTACTGGTAAAGCTGCATTGCACCATCTTCCGAGAAGAAGAAGCAAAAGGTAACTTAGTTCTTCATCAATCAATAAAGCCCTTCGCATCGTCACAGTTTACAGGCTCTATCTCCCTTCACACGCATTGTAGGTTGCCTACAATTCATGTATTTGTTATACATGATTACGGTGGCGGCGTACACAAGTATTAAAGTGCATTGCATCCTAAACACCTTGTATGCAAAAATATAAAACTCGCGTAAAACGCCTAAACGTTTTAGGTGACTAGTATTAAGACGTGTTGTGCGGTTAGCAACGTTTCAGTGCTAATGCATGCGTAGACTTTGGAGTATATTTCTGCAGTTAGTGGGTCCTGTGCTTTCGCTCCTTGGAAGAGCTACCGTGTACTACCATGTGCCGAGAGAGGTGGAACTTCCATTTAGTCTCGTAGTCACAAGTATCGCACCTATACAACGGTTTATGCTTGAACCGGTGGGTAGCCAAATTTTTCTTACAGGTGGTTACGTAGTCGCAAAGGTGGCACTTGTAAGTTTCCGTTCCCCGAGGAATCGTGTGCTTCTCTCGGTGCGTCCCGAGGCTGCTCTTGTGCTTCGTTTCAAAGTCGCACACGTCGCACTTGTACATCCGTACCTGCGAGCGATCCTTGTGGATCGCCTGGTGCTTTATGAAGTTGTACTTGTGAATGGTCTCCATGCCGCAAACGTCGCACTTGTAAGTCAACACCTCAGATGTGTCCTTGTGCGTGAGCTGGTGACGACCGAGGTTCGACTTCTGTTTGGTTTGGAAACCGCACGTGTGGCACTTGTATTGGCGTGCCTGGGAAAAGTCTTGGTGGGACAGTTGGTGGCGCTTCAAGTTGCACTTCCGCTTCGTTTTATAATCACACTTCCCGCACGAGTACGTCGGTATGTCGGGACAGTCCCCGTGTTTCAGCATATGAAGCTGTAAGTGCACCTTAGCGTAAGACCCGTAATGGCAGAATTCGCACTTGTACTTCTTCACGGGGGATTTGTATTCTGCGGGTTTCCCGTGTGCCAAGTTATGTCGTACGAGGTAATGCTTGTTCTTGGTTTCGAAGCCGCACGTGTTGCACATGAACATTTGCTCGGTGGACGCTTCGTGGCTTTTCTGGTGGGCGATTAGAGTTCTCCTGCTCTTGGCTCCGTAACTGCAAGTGTCGCATTTTAACATCCGCGTCTGCACCAGGTCATCGTGTCTTTCCCGGTGGCGAGTGAGGTTGATTTTACGGTCTGATTCGTAGTCGCATTTGTGCGATTCTCTCTGGGACGGATCCGTGGGAACTAAAGAGTGCTTCTTGAGAGAGCATTCGTGGATCGTCTGGTAATCGCACACATCGTACTTGAAAGTTCGTACTTGGGAAAAGTCCCGGTGTACCAGTTGGTGGTCCACCATGGAGGTTCTACGTTTGGTTTCAAAACCGCAGGTGTAACACTGGTACTTTCGGGATGCCGGTATGTCCTTGTGCATGAACTCGTGTTGTCTAAGGTTCTTCTTACGGACAGATTCGTAATCGCACGAGTCACATTTGTACTTTTTTAACTGCGTCGAATCGCTGTGGTTCGATTCGTGCTTCTTACTGTCGAGCCTATGATTTTTTGTTTCTGTATCTCTTAGGCCACACTCGCTCGAGTAGTCCACGCGTTCGTCTCCTGGGATTTCCAACAGTGCGTCACTGAAAAAAATACAAATCGTGTACATTTTTGCTGTACATATATTTCAGCTGCCGATATAATTCGCGATGAGACCAATGCAAGTCAGGTTTCAGAGTTACAAATGTTAACGGATATTTTTTTTAAACCGTCCATCCATATCATTTTAAATAAATCCCCCCAATATCTGTGCAATAAAATCAGACTCCCAACTGACGTTCATAATTAAAACAAAACATTTGAAGGTAATTTAACCCCTCCTTCACATAAAACTGCAACATTTGAAAGATCGTTCAGTTACAAAAATTTACAACGTAGTACCGTTGCCTCTCAAATCGCTGTCTGTCAGTTGTTTCAAAAAAATATATATAAAGCGTTTTTAATTCTCAATAACTAGCACCTAATTACACTCATATAATTTTTTCGCTTGCGTATCTATTTTGTCTGATATCTTATGACTTTTCTTTTTACTATACAGGGTGTTTCATAATATATGCGCAGGACTTCAGGATGTGATAGCTCGTCCAAAAATTTAAAAAAAAGTTTGTATTAACTTACCCTCTAAATTGCACAATTTTCGAGACACAGGGTGTTGAAATTGTAAAAAAAAATTCGTTTTTTGCGAATATCTCCGGAACCGTTTATCGTACAGAAAACAGCTTTTGTAAGCATTTACTACTCATAATAAGCTATGTTCTGCGCGAGAAAAAAATTTTATCAAAGTCATAATTGGTGAAAATTTTGAAGGGGAAGTGGGTGTTTTTCTCCCCAACTTCTACGCCACTGGAAAAAGTACGGTTTTGAGACGCCCATTTGAACCACCAATGTTTTCTACACAGAAAAAGTCCTCTTGATCATAAGCTCTAAAGTTGACCGTTTTCGAGAAAAATCTACTTTTATGTTGAAAAACATGGTCAATTTTTTGAAATAAAATTTTTATTTTCCTAAATGTATTATAATTTTTTTTATCAAGTAGGCCTTAAATTTTAAAACAAAAGCTACCGCCTGTCAAAATAGCAATTAGTTTGTACCTGCAAAAAGTCAATTTGTATTACAAAAGTAAAAATGAATTACACAAACGCTGAAATGTACGAAATGCATTACCTTTACGGAATAGCGAGCGGTAATTCGGCAGAAGCAAGGCGGTTGTATCAAGAAAGACATCGTGATCGCCAAGTACCACATAACTTGTTTCAACGCATTCACCAACGACTATGGGAAAATGGAAGTTTTAAAAAAAATACTGCTGATAATGGGCGGCCTATGGAAGCTGCAAATGCCCAAGTAGAAGAGGCCGTCCACAACGAAATTGAAGAAAATCCGATCACAAGTACCTATTAGAAAAATTGCTCACAACTTAAACATACCTCACTCGACGGTTTGGAGAATTTTGAAAAGACAACTTTTGTATCCCTACCATATCCAAAGAGTACAAGCCTTATTGCCAAGAGATTTTCCGCCAAGATTGGCTTTTTGTAGATGGATGCAAAACAAAATAGCTCAAAATCCTCAGTTTGCAGCCGAAGTTATGTTTACCGATGAAGCATCTTTTTCGAGAGATGGTATTTTCAATTTTCACAATAACCACATATGGGCTGAAGAAAATCCACTTGAAATTGCAGAAGGCAATCATCAGCAATAATTTTCCGTGAATGTTTGGGCTGGCATCGTCGGTGATCATTTGATAGGTCCACATTTTTTACCGAACAGATTAAACGGTGCAGATTATCGACAATTTCTAGAACAAGTACTGCCGGAACTGCTGGAATATGTACCGCTTCAAGTAAGACAAAACATGTACTTTATGCATGATGGAGCTCCGGCCCACTTTAGTTTGGTTGCTCGCCAATACTTGGACGACGAATACCAAGACCGTTGGATCGGTCGAGGAGGTCCCCACCCTTGGCCCCCGCGATCTCCCGAACTTAATTGTTTAGATTTTTTCTTTTGGGGCCATCTCAAAACCCTAGTCTACGCTACTCCAGTTGANAATACTATTATCAATTTCATCTGCAGTCATGTTACCATCAAAATTAACAATTTTTATTCTTGGCTTTCTCATTTTTGTTTGCTCAATTAAATAGTTGTCCTTTAGTTTATCCTTTACTGCTTTTTCTAAAATATCAGTCTCTTCTTTTGTTTGACAAGTGATATGGATAGAACCTGATTTGGTAGATTTAAAATGCTTTATACCTATCTTTAATTCTGAAGGATTAATATATTTGTCCAGATCCGACTTAGTTTTTCTACTATCTTGTTCCCCCTTTGGCTTAATAATGATCTTTGGCTGATTTTCTTTCCTTTTATTAACCTCTGGTGCACTAGTTACAGATGCATAGGATAATTGTGTAAAACTTGCAAGTTTATCTTCAACTTGTTTGACTTTTTCTTGTAGCATATTAATAATTACATTTTTGTCATCTATTATTTGATCTTTATCCTTTATTGTATTCCGTAAAAAATCAGTTAGTTCATAATTTCTGCATTTTTTGCATATAAATTTCAATAAACGAGTTCGTAAAGCTAAACATTTAATTTCCGAGCTCGAAAGCTCAGAGCAATCATTACATATTAAATTTCTGCACGAGTCACAAGGCGTACAAGGATTTTTTACATCTTTAGAAGGTTGCAAAGTTCTCTTACACACTGTACATTCCATTCCACGTTCCATATGCTAAATTCACTTTCCTTTTTTAGAACAACAAAATTTGTTTCTATATTGCTACTTTTTACTTTTAAGATAAAGACTTGGTTTTTGTCACCTTCTTTTTGGCGTTTAAATAGAATTTCTTATCATTTATATCCATTACTATGAGTGCACAAATGCATAAATACCTCTATAGACGTTTCTTAGAGATCTTTTTTAATTTGTTATTAAAAAGCACTGCACTTTATTAACTGATGGGACAGATTTCAAAATTTAATGTAGATTATTTCCCATAGAACAAACACCAAAACTCACAGACTGAATTATTACTCTTTCACAGAGCAACATATAGATGGTAGTAGTTATATGTACATATTGAGAACCACTGTGAACTTGATACGTAATCAATCATGCTAGCGCCCCAACGAATTGCAAGTTTGCCAGGTGTTGTGTCAAGAAAATTATTTACAGTAAAACGTAAGTAAATCAGTTTCTTACAGCGAGTTATGTCTAATTCTAGTGCTCTATGGACGGATTATAGTTCAAAAAATTGCAACAATTAAATTATATCAATAATCTTAATTCCGATTTTAACTTTGTAATACTGAAAACACAAAAGTCAATACTTTACTGATTTTCACGGTACTAAAATATAACTACGAATGGTGATATATTTTTTTAATTATCTAGAAATAATCTACAACCTTAATCCAGCAGATGAGCTATTAGAAATCTCTTAGAGATTGTTAATTAATAGTTAATCATTAAAGTTCGATGCACACAGTAAAAGCTTCATTCAATTATTTTCCAACGACTATTTGATCTTTCCACCGCTAATATGATTTTTAGGTGCTATTTCTTTTGAGACTCTTTAGGACGATATTGCTTATAACTTTTAAACGGGAAGTAATACGGAAAAGTTTATTAGAAAAAAGAGAGCCTTATAACAGGAAAAAATATAATTGAAGACGTCATTAGTCGTTTCTGTCAATTCCCAAATACTTTCGATTGAAAATGGAGCTAACTCATCCCATTTAACACCACATGTGCCAAATTTTATTAAAATTTTTTGTATCTTCACCATAGGCCCATACTATGGAGTTTGAGGCACCCTGTCCAACTCATTAACATCTCATGAAAGTATTGAAAAATATTTGAAAACTTACCTATCGTCATCGTTTTCTTCATGTTTTATTTCAACATCTTCAGTTTTAATATAGGACAGGCCCTCTGCCGCATTGTTGTTACACATATTTCTTATTTTCTCTTCCACATCCATACAATTGTTTAAGAAACTCGTATGGGTGCCTAGCGAATCGTGGCAAACTTTGCACAAGACGGGTTCTTTGGTGGAACTGAAATTCTACAAGAATCGTCAATTAAAATAATTGTTTTCTAATACACACAATTTCTATAAAAATTTCTAAAACCATAACTATTGTATTTACCACTTCTGGAATATATTTGCGGAGCATATCAACATCAACTTCTTCCACTGATGTAAACTCCCAAGGGACTACTTGCATACACAGCCGACAAATCCTCTCATCTTCTAAGCTGTCTTTTAAATGTTCTTTACCTTTTTCCTTTAAATAAATGCCCATTAAGTCTACCGGTTCCTTCTTTTCGGAATTAACGTAAGGAAAGATGCAGTCTTCGGTATCCATACAAGTTGCTTTGAATTGAAATGCGGCAAACAGTCTTACGGTACAGGAATTACATATTACGGATTTATTATCTTCCACGCTCTAAAATAATAGCGATGAAGGAAATAAAGAAGTCCAATATTCAGTAATAGTTTTGTAGCTTTCTTACCAGCTTCAGCAGAAGAACGTCAAGAACTTCTCTAATGGTACCATCTATTGTTTTGAAGCTGCCGTCGCCAAAGACGTTGAGGCAAAGCCTGCACGTTTTCTCAGAGTTCCCCATTTCAATAAGCTTTATAAAAGAAACGGCAATTTCACGGAATTATAAAAAATATTTCGAAAACAAACACATACTTCAAAATCAGCTAACAGCGAACTAAACAGCTTTTTAGTGAAGTTTATAAGGCGTATGACTTCCACAATATAACCTCAATTTGCGAAATAATAAAATATTAACAGTAGTGATGGGAGATTTCGAGTGAAAAATCGAGTGGTACTCGATTATTGAGATCACTCGAGATATCTCGAGATGTTTACTCCCACCACTCGAGTGATTATTACCCTACGGTTGCACCCCAAAATGTTAGTGCATACTGCAAATAGTCACTGATTGCGTAACCTTTTTTTAGAATAAAACGAAAAAAAGTGGTTAGGTTTTGAAGTGCGTGAGCTTTTTTTTTTTTTAGCTACGCTTATAAGTAATATATGACTAATACAAACATATTTGTGCGCCGCTGGGATAAAAACGACCAATATCTCGTATCTCGAGTGATCACTCGATTATTAGAAGTACTCGATTACCGATAACTCGATTATTAAAATTGGTCGATTATGCCCATCACTAATTAACAGGAGGAAATGTCACACCAAAATTTTCTAGATATAGTTAGAGATGGGCAGATCATAACTAATCCGGTTCATTGATCTGACTCTTCGTACTGATCGGAGTGAACCGGTTCCTGCTCATTGATCCGGATCGGTGATGTTGCGCCCATCTCTAATTAGAATCACATTGTAATATTCTGTGGTCTGTGCTATCATGTTAGGCTCTTGTATTTATAGGTTTTCATGTATTATTTTACACTTTAGAAGGAAATATTAATGTAGTAATGTTAAAGATTGAAATAAGCATACATTGATTTTGGATTGCCAATTAAATAAAGTCTGTGGGGCCCTTCACCTAAAATAGGCTGCGTATTCACAGGCATTGTTCATTGAATATTGTAATGTGAGGTTAGGCTTACTAATATATTTCTCGTATTTTGTGGAAAGTTATAACAGTAATGAGGAAGTTTGAGAAAAGCATACCCATGGAGGATACGTCCTGTAAGCTGTGCCTTAGTAACTTAAATACAGGAGATTTCATAATAATAGACGAAACTATAGAAAACGCCCTAGATGTTCTTTTGCTAAAACTAGTAAGAAAAGTCAAACCTTTGTCATTTGAGACATTCCTGAGATATCATTTACATTTTAGAAAGGGATAAAAGAACACATATCCATAATGTGCCACACTTGTTCCGCTAAACTGTTCGCAGCGTTTAATTTTAAAGCTACCTGTGTGGATACGGAAGACTGTATCTTTCCTTACATTGATATTGAAATAGGGGCGCCTGTCGACCTAAGTGAAATTTATCTAAAGATAAAAGGTAAAGAGCATTTAAAAGAAATGTATGTTAGGTAGGTAGGTAGGTAAGGTATGTTAGAAGACGAGAGGATTTGTCGACTGTATGCAGATGCGGGTTTACGTCGATAAAAGAGTGGATGTTGATACGTTCCGCAAATATATTCCAGAAGTTGTAAGTACCTTATTTAAGACAATCATCTGTTCAAATTATAAAGTATATTCTTCTCTAAGAAAACGAAATTGTAATAGATTTTTTTTACAGAACTTCAGTTTCGTCAGAGAACCCGTTATATGCAAAGTTTGTCTCGATTCATTGGACACTCACACGAGTTTTTTAAGTAACTGTTTAAATGTGGAAGAGGAAGTTAAAAATATTTCAGGCGAAGCCTGATACGAGTATGTCTGCGATATTATTTGTCGGGGGTCGCAATTTTAAAGGAATGTATTATAAAGTAATGCAAATAACTGATAAATAAGTAAAAATGGGACTTACCTGGGCATAACCGCGGCACAGGTACCTGTAACAAAGATGCTGACGGCCTCTATGAGGAAACCGTTAGGGGGTTATTTTTGCTTGATTTATTTGTAGGTTGGCGCCCATTTAACACCTTTATTATCTCCCCTATGTTTTCCTCAAACTGGCAAATTTATATGTCGAAATCGAAAAAAATAGAACCGACCCACTTCCCTCTGCCTTCGCTATAAGACCTGCCGTTCGCACTTTGTGGTTTGAACTTTTTAAAATAAACGCCATAACGTTAACAAAATTAAAAATACTAAATTGTAATAACCTAACATTTGAAAACAATTATTACCCTTATACATTTGTTTTTAACAAATAAAACTTGTTAACGTTTAAAATGTAAAAAAGTATGATGTGTCTAGGTGAAAAGATCTGTTTACTCCTTGTCGTTTACTATGCGTTAAAAACGCAGTAAACACTAAATTAGTGACCGAATACTGTGAGTCGAGATTCACTCTCGATAAACCTTTGTGGGTCAGCGATCAAGAGCGGTCCGAAAAAGAGTCTAAATGATTTAAAAATGCACTTAAAAATTTTTTTTAACTATGTATTCGTATTCTTAATTTGAANGCGCCTGTCGACCTAAGTGAAATTTATCTAAAGATAAAAGGTAAAGAGCATTTAAAAGAAATGTATGTTAGGTGGGTAGGTAGGTAAGGTATGCTAGAAGACGAGAGGATTTGTCGACTGTATGCAGCTTATCACTTGCGGGTTTACGTCAATAAAAGGAGTGGATGTTGATACGCTCCGCAAATATATTTCCAGAAATTGTAAGTACATTATTTAAGACAATCATCTGTTCAAATTATAATCAAGTATATTCTTTTCTAAGAAAACGAAATTGTAATAGATTTTTTTCTTACAGAACTTCAGAACCCGTTATATGCAAAGTTTGTCCGATTCATTGGACACTCACACGGATTTTTTAATTAACTGTTTAAAAGTGGAAGAGGAAATTAAAAATATTTCAGGCGAAGCCTGATATGTCTGGTATATTGTTTGTCGGGGGTCGCAATTTTAAAGGGGAATGTATTCTAAAGTAATGCAAATAATTGATAAATAAGTAAAAGTGGGACTTACCTGGGCATAACCCCGGCACAGGTACCTGTAACAAAGATGCCGACGGCCTCTATGCTTAAGCCGGGGATTAGGTCGGTGATTAAAAGGAAAGAAAGGGATTTTTTCCAGGTAGCCTTAATAAAGGCAGGTAGATCTTGCTCGTTGCAATGCACTTCACCTCACAAACAAACACGTCTGCTCAGCTCGGCTGCTCGCTCGGAACTGACTATGCAATCATATCGATTGAGTTTTTTTTTAGATTTGATTCAATAAAACCCTTGCCGGAGCGACTTAAACCCTTCTTTCATTTTGTAACTGGTAAAGCAACTAGCTCGTGTGTGATTTAAAATTAAACCGAATAGTTTAACTAAATTTAATCACTAGTGAACGTCGAAATACATCGGAAAGGTAATTAATTATTTAAATCTCTAGTTCTCTCTTAAATTCAATCCAGTAGATCCTTGTTAACCATTTGGATTTTGCTAATATTTTTTGTATGACCTTCAATGCTGTGCAACCACGTGCTAATTGAATTTTGTTTCTTTTTCTCTCACCAGAGCTTACCAGAAAAGTTTTTTCGGAGGACACCAGTAGACACCCTGTACTCTGCAGAACATCCCGTGAAACACCTGGACAAGTGTGAGAAATATATTAGTGAATTTTAATTGCTTTTATTTTATTTTACTCCAAATCCCTATTTACAGGGTGAGGAAACCGTTAGGGGGTTATTTTTGCTTAATTTATTTGTAGGTTGGTGCCCATTTAACACCTTTATTATCTCCCGTATATTTTCCTCAAACTGGCAAATTTATATGCCGAAATCGAAAAAATAGAACCGACCCACTTCCCTCTGCTTCCGCTATAAGAGCTGCCGTTCGCACTGTGGTTTGAACTTTTTAAAATAAAGGTTATAACGTTAACAAAATTAAAAATACTAAATTGTAACATTTGAAAACAATTATTACCCTTATACATTTGTTTTTAACAAACGTATACTATTGGTTAAAAACACAGTAAACACTAAATTAGTGACCGAATACTGTGAGTCGAGATTCACTCTCGATAAACCTTTGTGGGTCAGCGATCAAGAGCGGTCCGAAAAAGAGTCTAAATGATTTAAAAATGCACTTAAAAATTTTTTTTAACTATGTATTCGTATTCTTAATTTGAAAAAATCGTAAAAAAAATAAAAAAAACAAATTGAAGCTGATGAATCAGGCTAAATGACCCTGTGGCATTGATTAGTCCAGAAAAATTCCATGTGCAGTATTGAAAAACTAAAGAATGTTAAATTTTTGTCTTGCGTTATTTTTCATTACTCTGAATGATGCTCAAAAAATTTTTTATCTCGAGGTTTCAAAACTAGAATGGTCAAGCTTCAAGATGCTTCTTTTTTTTCTCAATACGACCATTATACACGAAGTTACAGCTTTTCAAAATTCGCTAAAAAAATTTGGAAATTCTTCGACACCTTTTAATTTTTTTTTTGCAGAGTTTAGCGATCTGATAGTGAATGGTGCTATAATAAGATAGGTACGGTATTACATATAAAATGAGCATGTACAGTTAAATTTTATTTAATTCATTCAAGCCTACAATACAAAAACTATAATAGGGTTTAAACCTTATTTCTATGTCTTAAAATATCACTAACAAAATACAATAGGGTTACTTACAGCTGCTTTACAGCGAGAATTAATTCTTTGGTTTTACATTTAATTCTTTGAAACAAAAACAATTACTACCAACTTCGCAGGAAAGTCTTGATAAATAAAGACAGATTGAAAGTGAACACATTTTCTTGAATAAATTAAGTTATTTTTTTAATTACATAACATGAAAAAAAATTGTAATCATCAATATTTTCGTCAGTATTTCCGAACTTCATGAAGAAATTCACGAAAATTAGAGCTAATTTATGAAGACTTATATTTTAACTGTGGGAATAATTCATGATGTGAATCAAGTCCAGTGAGAAATCGAAGAATTCATTTCAGCAAGTTAAATCCTACAACAAATATTTAAACGTCTACCGCCTGTTCACAGAAAATGAAAGTAGTTGGTGCAAAATACATTTAGGGACTTGCCATAACCTTCCAATCCACATGTATACAACTCGTATTTACAAAATAAATATTTTTGCACAACGTACAAAGGGCAGTAAGTAAATCACACCTGAAAACATCAATTGAGGTCT